TACTTATATAAAATATATTGTGCATACAAATAAAATAGAAGTAATTGCAAAAAATAAGAGTTTATGATCATATTTTAATTAACTAAAGTGGTATCTTTAAAGTAAAACCATAAAACCTCATGAAAAACATTACAATAAAAAATGAAGCATGGTAAACGACAAAAGCAAGTGTGCACAGCTAGTGTTCAGAAAGTTAGAAGAGCATCTGTTCTCAGTAAACATGCTGTAGAGCCAAACCCTGAAAACACTAACAGAGCAGTGTGTTTGTTTTAAGCAGAACAGCATGACAAAAGACAGTTAAATCACCCACTAAGGAACTGCTATCTATGTCAGGTTGTTTCTATTAGTATTAGTGCTCCAAAAAGACTTTCTGTCTCTGCCTTACACACACAGATATAAATCTGCTGAAATGAGAGAGATAAACAAGGTTTAAAATGAAAACACACTTCAGTGGTTTATGGGTTAGTTTTAAATGAACATTAAATCTTTCCTCTGACGTTGATTTGAAGAGCTGTTCAACATCTATATGACATCCAGTCAGACGTGATGCCGTTTTGCATCTTTCATCATATCTAAACAATCTACTCGTGACATAAAACTGCTGCAATGAAAAACTAACAACTGAAATCTGGGAAATGTGATTTTATTTTATTTTTTTCAGATTGCTGTCAAGCAAATGCTCTTTTCAGCTAGAAGTGATGCACACTTTAAAGCGCAAAGTTTGGCACTCGATTTATGTTATCTAAGAAATCTGTGTAATCAGATTGACATGCACAGATTATCACAAAATCTTCACTGTAATTCCATCTCTTTCATCTTTTCAAGCATGCACGTTATGTTGAATTTTAATGCGTTTATATGAGTATCTATCAGTTACATGCACATGGATGTTTGCTTAGCAGAGCGCGCATGTTTTGCGTGTGTCTGTGCATTTGAGAGATTCAAGTGTGTGTGTCTGTATTTCGGCAATGGTAAAACAGTAGGGTTGCACATTCTTGTCCGACATAACTTAAGACAAGCAGACACTGAAGAAAACGCCTATAAAACTCTCTCAGCCTCTTCTCCTCCATCTGTTTTGTTTTCCTTCCATCTCTCCTTTTTGATGAGCTGGGTCTTCAGTCCCCCCAATAAAATCCCATTAGCTCTTAATGAAGTCGAGCTCGCTGCCTCGCGCCTTCACCTCATTTAGCACAATTGTCTGGCAGCCATTAGCACGGAGGCAATTACAGCCGAACGGCGAGAGTAATTGGAAATGCCGACAGGGACCCCAAGAAAACGGGAATAAATAAAAAAAAAATTCAACGTAATAAGCCTCCGTTGGGTTGGTGGGGGCTGCTAGGCTAAATCAACATAATGCTAATCGAGGCTGATGAGGAACAGACTCGGGATGAAGGCCAGGGGTGGTGGAGATGATGATGATGATGAGGTTGAGATTGTTATAGAAAGAGCAAAAGGAATCATACTAATCAACTGCTCAATGACACAAGGTACTGTACTGTTAATGCCCACGTAAACTGATGCTATATGGAAAAAAAATATTAATATCCACTATTAAACGGCAACATGAAATCAAAATGGACCACATTTACTTTCTAATAAGCATCCTAGGTCCAAGAAAACAATATAAAACACAAAAATAATACAATAGATAAAATAAAGTGCTGCCTTACATGATGTTTGACACAGAAATAATGAAGTTAAATGTTTTGCAAAGGCTCTTTCTGCTGCCATAATAATAATAAATTAACAACATTAATAATAATAAATAACGCAGGATTCACACAACTTTTCACCAATAAATTTCCAGATTTTTTTCATGTTTTTCCCCTCAGTATTTTACTCACAAAGTGATTAAATATTTTATATCTAAGCGTAGCTAGAAAAATATATATTCATTATAATAATGTCCATGGCTTTTTCATGCATTTTAGATTTAGAACAGACACATGCTTTTCCAGGAACCGAAATTACCATTCTAAAATTCCACGATATTTTTCCATGACTATGGAAATAATATGTTTTTAGTATTAGAATCTGCTGAAATTAAATGTTTTCTATGATTTGAAGTCAACTAACAGGTTGATTTTATTCAGTGTACCTTCATGATGCCAAAAACACATTGTAATGTGGCATAAATAATGTAGGCAGGACTTTGATTATGAAAACATTAAGCTATAATATTATTAGTTAGTATAATTTTGCCACAGCCTTGATTATTTCAGCAGAAAACTGATTGCAGGAATGGAGAAAATGATTACATTTTTAAGAAAAAATAATTAGAACTACAATAAATTTTTCCCCCTTTTGATTAACGTGCTCTGATGCATTGTGCATGGCTTGTTTTGATTTCATGTTTTAAATAGAGCTTTCTGGAAATCAAATAAACAACGGTTACAATCCATGCAAAGGACGCTTTGTCAAGCCAGTCCTTGAATAATGAACAGTCACACGGTGATCTAGGTGTTGTGTGTGGCCTGCTGGTGCCAGAAGCCAGGACATCTCCCTTGACTCCTCACCCTACTTACTCACATCAAACTGGGCAACTGGTGGCAGAAACCTGATCAGAGGGCACCTTTCACAAGAGCTGGGCAGACTGCCCAACGGTCCACAGGAGGGGCAAAGAATAGGGTCTGGTTGGAATGGTGTGTGTCTGTGATGTGTGTGTGAAGGCGTCTTGGCACTAGCTTTCCGGAGTCGGCACGGGAAACAGAAGGTCGAGTCCCACAATAGTCTCCCATGGGACATCCACAATACCAGCTCAATGACCGCAGTCAACAATACTCTCAAGGCCTTTTATTCAGAGAGTTCAATGGAACAGACACACCCAGCGGCACTTTCCTACACAAAACAAGATCCTAGCACACACACACACACATACATACATATTCATACAACCTTATATAAATCACAATATTGCTTCTATAAAAGAGGCTTTCAATCGTGGATCTGTCTAGAATCACTACTATTTCACAACACAGGGGATGCTACATTAAAACTTAGCAATAAAGGTTAGCCATGGTTCAAATTAGTACATTTGGATAAGTTCATAAATAAATAAACAGTATATTAATACAATAAAGTAGCATTTTGTGAAATTGCACACAATATAATAATGCTGTATACAGTGCTACAATGCTCACTCTAAACAGATTAATCTACTCTAATGAATCTGTGGCTTTTTTTTTTTAAACAGATTCATTTAAATGACTCATCCAAGTGAATCAGTTTGAACAAATCATCACACAAGTCAATGTATTCAGATGAATTATCTAAGTTATTCATTAAAAAGAATCAGACTTAAGGGATTCATTGTAGTTATTAGTGGCTTATAACTAAAAAAAATTAATAATTTATTTGGTTTCTCCCCAACACTGCTCCCGGTTAAGATTTGACATAATGTACAATAAGTTAATTCACTTCATCTTAGCTGTAATATGAGACCTGAGGAACTAGTATTGATCATTTGAGAAGGTGAAAAATGAGGTGAAAAGACATTAAGCAAAGCATGTTGAGTGTAGCACAGGGCTGCTACCGCAAAAATGAAAAGATGCAGGCTCCTTCCATCTCTCTTACACTGTGCTTTCGCTCCGAAAATGTTTATTTGTCAAGATCCACAAACAATCACTTCACTCGACAGGAGAGAGAGCTTTCCAGTCAGGAGGAGATTTAATTAGGGAAATCTCATTAGGTTTAACAAAATTAAGCGTAAAACAATCCTCGGCAGGGCTCCCGAGAGCGAGAGGGAGAGAAAGAAAGGGGGAATTTGGGGTTATGAGCGATTAGAGTCAGGAGGATATTGAGATAGTCACTTCCATGCTGCTGTGGGGGAAAATGGCTCTAGATACCCAGCTGTTTTCACACTCAATTAAAGAGACTTGCCTGGCTTTTACCCCCTCTGAAAAGCAAAGAGTTAACCCTTCTGCATATTGCCGCACACACAAATGTGTCCCTCAGACTCGGCCTCTCTCTCACTCATCCACAACGTAATTCCAGCCTGAGCCCACAAACCATTAAAGACACAAATTGTGTTTTCGAACAAATTTGCACTCTATAAGGACATAACAAAAAGTGCTATTAAAGTGAGGAAACAAACTCTTAAACAACACAGTCGGGGTGATTGCAGACGAACAGCAAGTGCTGGAAATTCATCTGTAAATGCCCAATTCTGACTAAGGAATAACTCAGCGACTCCAGAAGAGCAATATCACTCCAGAGAAATCACAGGTTTGTATATTCTAGGCGGCTCGATATGTGACAGTGCATATTTATCAGCCATCTTCATAAGTGTGAGAGTATTTTATTTGCTATCAATGCTAAAAAAAACTAACTCTATATAAAAGTATTATTACGAAAGACTGCACTTAATGCATGACTTCAAAAGCTGCTTGGTGCATTTGTGCAAACAACCACGGTTTACCTTTCTCACATTAAAATGGAAGAAAAGAATCTGGCGACAATCATGGCTCTGTTCCAACACCTAGTGAGTTGCCTTGCTGTCTGCTGCCTACATAAGCTGCTGCTAGCATCCTAAAATGAAACTGAACCTCATAAATGGTGAACTGAGAATGAATACTGAGGCAGCAATGCCAAACAAGTGCCATCGCACTACATTTTTCACATTAAGTGCATAGTTTACAGTTAATTTCTATGGAGTTTGTTGTTAGCATGTTGCTAAGCTAACTCTAATAAGCATAAGATATTAACAGCTCAGACAAACATTTGTGTAAAATAGCAGTTTATTAATAGAATTAAATGAATGAATGACTATCTATCTATCTATCTAGATAGATAGATAGATAGATAGATAGATAGATAGATAGATAGATAGAAATTTTTGAGAATTTTACCCAACCCTGATCTTAGATGACCTACAACAACCTTTGCATCAGGGGCATATCTATGATGCCTAAAAATACTGCCTACACAGGTAGCTCACCATCTTTTGGAACAGAGCACGTGTGTTTTTGAATGGACATGGAAGTGTTGATTTAGGAACTTACAGTTTGCTTGTTCTCAGCATCGGAGCATCTGAAGTTGGAGCCGGTCCGACAGCGCACTGCCCTCCAGACAGTCTACAACACAAGAAAAGAAGCCTTCTGAGTACAGTTACATCTAACGGTCTGCGCTCTAATAGCAAACCTGAGATTATTACTCCAGCCGCATTACAGCACAACTTGTAAAATGAGCAAAAATGTTGATTTAGGTATAAGCAACACCGCATGCTTTGGAAAATGGGGATCTTTTTTTATTGACGCTGCGTGATACCCGTGGGCCTGCTGACCCACAATTTGAAAAGTAATTTGATATTTTGTGTGAAAGTATATGTATGTGTGTGTCCTGCTGTTCTGGCTTAATAGAGGCTGTATGTGTGTGTGTGTGTGAGAGAGCTTGGGTAGGTGGGCAAACGAAGATAAAGACAGGGGCGGGAATGGCAGGAATGGCGGCCAGCCCCCCACGCTTCAGTCTGGCAGTATATGTTCGTGTGAAACCTTTCTCGGGTTTCTTCCAAACTACAAAGAAAACATTTTAGGGTTCTGTAATCCCTCCCTCAGACTCCCAAAGCCCCAGAGCCCTCTACACATCCATACAGTCCGCAGCCCACCTCCTGAGACCTGATCTGCCTTCCTGTTGACGTCAAAGTGAATTAGAGCAAGGAAAGCGCAGCGGCTCCCCCCGGGGGGCTGGAGGGCTAATCATGCTGTTCCTCACCGGCCTCAGAGGAAGCATTAGCGTTCCTGTTGTAGCAGACTACCACATCTACAGCACAGGGCCCCTTAACAAACAACCAGGACACCGCACACACACACACACAAACAGCTTATTTACAGAAATACACACTAATAGGTCCCTCATACACACCACAGTACCCTCCAAACAGTACCAGATGAACAGAAGATGTGTGGCTTTGCCCTTCCCACCCCTCATTCAAACAGCCAGTGAAAGTTAAACTTTAGGGTAAACCTCTTTCTCTAATGCACAGAGCACCTCTGTGAAATACCTAATTCCAGCCTCCATCCGTCTCCACACCGACCTCCTGCACTCCCTCCAGCCATTCTGAATAATGATTCTACATATAGCGAAGGAGACGGTTGAGGAGACTTTACACCTAGACTGTGTGACTGACCTAATTCCTACTGAGATGACTGTGGCTTGGCTTTCTTATGTCTGATGGTCTCATGGTCTGATTCAGTGTTATTTTAGTATTATTTCTATACTATTTATTTAATAATTTATATATATATATATATATATGTGCATACATACATACATACAGTACATACACACACAGCTTTAAATAGTAATTTTAGTACTTCAACTTAAGGGATGTTCACTCCAGGGATGATAACTACTGATAACTATAAAGTTGTAATAATCACTCTAATTCTGTGAGAACAGGGAAATCCACATGACATTTATAACAATAACGACACAGAGGAACTATATAGTTGGAATCACTTTAAAACTTTTTTTTTTATTTGATGAGTGATTAAAAAACACTGGCATCCTATCTATCTGACTTTAATGAGCCTGATTATTTAAAGCAACAGATTACATAACTGCAGCACGCTTATAACAAACAGCATGTTATCATGTGTTGATGTGGACGCTAATATAAAGTTCTATTTATAGTTAGCATTCTTGGTGTGAACAGGGGCCTCATTTATAAAGCGTGCGTACGCTAAGATTTGATCTTAGAGTGTGTCTACGCTTAAATCCACGCCAATGCTCATATTTGTAAAAACTGGCTTTGACGTGGAAAAGTGCTTAGCGTCACGTCAGGGTCTGAGCAGACGTCCGCACTTTTTCTTGTTCGAGTACTACATGTTTTTGGAAATGTAAGCTGTTTTTGGAGCTCGCTGTTCTAAATTAAAGAATTTGGATGATGACTGCGATCTTTTGCATGTTAATGACATTAATTAGGAGTCGTTTACAAGACAGAGAGCTAAAACCATTCAGCTGCGCACAAGTTCAAGATCATTTGCGATTCATAGATTTCAAATCTGAAAGAGAGTCGTACATGCATTTTGTCTGTACGTACGTTCATTCTATGAATCACACATACGCATATTTGAGAAATGATCTTAAGATCAAATTTAGGATGGTTTCTGTGCAACGTTTTATAAATGAGGCCCCAGGTCTTCAAATTTATTTCATTTCAGTTAGTTGAGAAGGCAACATTTCTAGTTTTTCATGTAATATTTATATTTTATTCAGCTTCATTTAATGATTTTAATCAGGTTACTTCTATTTAACAATAACAACACTGGTCGTTATTTTTTTCACATAACACTTGGGAGGCTACTTGTGATTGTAAGTAAAATATCAATAAACAGGTTAGCTTTGGCACAGGTTTGAACATTGCATGCTGAGTTTACTGCAAGCATTGATGTTGCACCCTGGTGGTCAACATCAAACTGGTTAGCATAGGACTGTTTCACTGTTGGTTAATACCATAAATACACCAAAAAGCATCTTCCCTTTCTCACAGCATTTTAAACCTAAGTCCTATTTACACCAACACGAATAGTCAGCACATTTACAGTATGCAATTGCGATAAAAATAAAACTGAGTACACTTCATTATATTACAGGTTAAATATTTGACCAGTGCCTGATTGCTTTTTGGACAAAGAAAAGTTTTGTGATGAATGCCGATGCTAATAGATAGCTTTCTCCAGTAGGGTTGTGCCGATAGATGATAGTATCGTGTATCGACGATAGACAGAGATATTGCCTGTGGCTGATGCCTTTGACGATAGCAAGACGATTATTATTATTATTACCAGGCTAGTAATACCATCTAATTAATATTAGGGCTTATTTGTTGCATTATATTTATTTTTCCACGTTTTTACAGTATTGCGCGTTCTAACCAATCACACACGATTATGCTGAGCTTATGAATGCATTGGCCAATAAGATGCGTTCAGATGACTCACCTCTGAAACAGCGGAGTTCTGTTGTTCACTGAATTCTGACTCGCAAATTCTCTCATCATAAACAACAAAGTGCAGATGTACGTGCGATGCAAGTATAAGAGATTTATTCATCCTACAGTGTAGATTCACTGATTTTAAAGGGAGTGTTTTTAAAGTGCATAAACTCGCGCTAGACTGAGCTTGTGATGATGTTCTTTGGTAATGTAATGTTCTTTGCTAGTTTTCTGTAGCTGCTTTTTGAATAACTGAGGAAATGAAAGCATTATAATTAGAAGCTTACGATGTTTCTATTAATTTGTTATGTTAAATACAAATTCAGTCATATTAAAAACATTAGGCTGCTTTTAGCCTTACGCTGGAGTTGGTTCACTTTCTCGCAATGAAACGAAATAATTACATAAATTAGCACGATAATACAGTGTATCGGCGATCTCACAGGCTGACGATAGGACGATATGAAAATTGAGCATATCGCCCAACATTATTCTCCAGTGTTACAGTATATAGCCCTCTTTAGATGCTCTAGTCTGTTTGGCCTTGACTGTCCTATTAAAATAAATAAGTAACATTTTAGTACAGGGAGTCGGGACCAAATCTCATTAACTAGTTGCGTTAGTTGAGTTACGTAATTAGATTACTTTTTTCAAGTAGCTAGTAAAGTAACGCATTACTTTTTTAATTTGCAAGAAAATATCGGAGTTACTTTTTCAAAAAAGTAACGCCAGTTACTTTGTTTTCCCATTTATTGACTGACAAGTCTCCTGTCCCCATATTGGGAGAAATCGGAAGTGCAGAGGAGTTGTGTGCACTGTGTGAACATGATGTTACTGTAATTCTAGACTAAATGTGAATGTGCATTAATTCATCCCACTCACAAAAAACTGATTTAGTATTAATCAAACTCAGAATATGACACAAACCTGCAATAACTAAATATGTTAAATAACACAAATGTATCTAATCCCATTTTATTAACCAATGTCTTTGCTGCTGACCTTTGATGATCCAGTTCAACCATACTAATAAGCAAAATTGACTTTAGATAAACTAACAATTGTGTTTCATTGTTTTTTTATTGCTGAAGAGTGTTTCTTCTCCTGCGTTCTACTGTACAGACGTGAATTTACTTTTCCTTCAGCCTGAGGTTTATTCATTACACTTTTTGGTGTGAAAGGGCTTTTACATTTGCTATAAATAGAACTTCTTATATTAAAAACAATCAAGCCCTGCTCATATTTAAAAAGTAACACGAAAGTAAAGCAAAAGTAATGTAACGCATTACTTTCCATAAAAAGTAACTAAGTAACATAATTAGTTACTTTTTTAGGGAGTAACGCAATATTGTAATGCATTACTTTTAAAAGTACAGTAACTTTCCATTGGTCAGAAAAAATTCATCTTGATAATGTCAGATAACTTTGATAGAAAGGTATATAATGAATTAGGTTGAATAGCAGTCAGCTGTTAAATTTAAGTACACAATTAGATAATACCAATTCAGGTCAACCAATTACCAAGCAATGCTTAATTTTGTTTTGTGGTGTAAAAAGGTCGCATTGGTAATTAAAGAAAAAACACTTTAGAAAAAATGGTCAGGTCAAAGTGTATGAATAATTTTTGGTCCCAAATTTTGATCAGTTTTACTGGTAGTCCACTGTATAAAGAATATCTTGCATCCACTAGTAAAAAAAATATCAAAAATTATATCTGGTGTCTGAATAATTTTTGGTTTGACTGAAATTATTCAGACAGCAGACATAATGTTTTATATATATTTTTTTTTTACTAGTGGGTGCAGGACACTATAGTTCTTTTTTTTGCCAAAAAAAGTTATTGAAAAAAAT